TGCCCACTGAGGCAAGAGGAGGACATCTGATCTCCTTGAGTTAGACTTAGAGGTGCTGAGAATAAAACTTGGCAAGAACAGTTGGCACTCTTAGCCTCCAAGCTATCTCTTCAGCCCAAGTATATTTTAAATTGTGGATTGCAAATAACACCTGTTTGGAATATTCTTTTGTCTTCATATTTCCATCAATTTTGAAACATTCATTTAGTAAAATTAACACACCTGATTTCTGCCTCTCCGTTTTCCATAATTTCTTCTCACTAGGGCTTTATAATTTTCATTTTTCTTGGTTAAATAGTAATATAAAACACAATCAGGCACACTCTGTAATGGAAAAATAAAGTTTTACTTAATGTTTGCTTTTATTTATACAATAAAATATTTTATATTTTTATATTTCATGTTCAAATGTAAATAAAATGTTTTTAAGAAAATTTTCTTGTGTAATCAAATCACAAATTAAAAACAAAAACATATGGCCTTAAGTTTAAGTATATCTAGGCTAGACAAATAACAAGGGAACTATCATACAAGACATCTACAATTGCCTTGAACCAAACTATGGTAAAGACACAAAGCTCCATCAGAAACATTCAATGTGTTCTCATTAACTAGTTATACATTCTCCTTCTCCTATATAGGAAAATAGTGTCTCTTCTGACTCAAAAAAAAAAAAAAGGAAAAGGAAATCAGCTAATGACTTCTAAAAGTTATTATAATTAATGATTTGGGAAACAGAAGATCAAATCATTTTTAATAAATGATGAAAACTGCTTTTGGTTCTCTACTAAGGATAACATTCACTTAAAAAAAATTTTGAGACTTTGTTTTGAGACAGGGTCTCAACTATGTACCTCTGACTGGCCTAGAACACACTATGTAGACCAGACTGGCCTTCTGTCTCTCCAGTGCTAGGATTAAATGCAGGTACCACCATACCCAGCAACATGTTTTTCTAATATGTGTATTTGCACATGCATAAGTATGCGGAAGCCAGAGGTGTTAGATCGTCCTGAACTGTAGCTACTATTGGTTGTGAGCCATCTTATGTGGATACTAGGAACCATATTCAGGTTCTCTACAAGTGCAATAGGCACTCTTAGCCACTGAACCATATCCAGCTTCTGTGCTTGGGATTATAATGCAATTATAGTCATCTCTATATACATATTTTATATTATTGAGTCTAGCAGAATCTTTTCCTCTATCATAATCCTTCGCAAAAATCAATTCTAACTAACTACTGATGGTTGTTGGAACACAAAAAAATCCAAAGCAACATCCTAAGCCTAAAACCATTTCAGCCTAAGATTTTTCTTACCTTCCTTTCCAAGTAGGATGCAATTAGTCCAAAGTTTTTTGGATGCTGGATAAATCTGAGTTTAAAAACAAAAAAAGTACTGAGAATACATCACTCAGTGCTAAAGAGGATTTCTATAACATCATGTATTTCCCCCAGAAGCTCAAGAAACATCAAAGAAAGCAGAAAAAAACTATAAAACTGGAAGATGGGAAGGAGTGCTGTGAAATGCTATCTTCTGGATATGACATCATTATCACACTCAAACTCAAAGCAAAAGTTACCTGCACAAGTCCTGTGTCATATACAACCCCTATCACATTCCAGCATGGAAGGGACAGGGGCTCTTGAGATCGCAATTCCAGTTGAGGAGCTACTGGCGTTTAATGGCTGATAAGAAAGGGGAGCTATTTTTTCCTGCTCTAAGTAGTTGATAGTGCTTTAATAAATAACAAACCCATGGGTCACTTTTTTTTTTAAGTGAACATGAAAGTAGAAAGTAGATTTGACAAGAAGAAGAGGACAAGAGAATAACAGGGAGGATGTGATAAAAATAAATGCTTTCATGAAGTTATCTAATATAAATATCAAAATAGTATGTATGTATATACAAATGTATGTATATACAAATGTATGTATATACAAATGTTTCAGCATAATAAAAACTGGAAGAATTGTGTCTAGCCTAATTCAAAGTAACTCCTCATTGCCCGCTCAATTATGGAATCGATAGAAAACTCTTAAATGGTAGAATTTTTATTTAATTTTCCCCACCCATTCAGGGTTTCTCTGTGTAGCTTTGAAAAGCAGGTTGGCCTCTAACTCACAGAGATCCACCTACCTCTGCCTTCCAAGTGCTGGGATTAAAGACATGTGCTACCACCATCTGGCTAAATGGAAGAATTTTTAAAGAGAAGTTTGTCTGTTTTTTGAGACTATGTAGCCCTGGTTGTCCTGGAACTCATCATGTAGATCAGGCTAGCCTGGGACTCAGCGATCCACCTGCCTCTGCCTCTGGAGTGTGGGGGGATTTGTATATCAATATACCCTGTTGTTTCCAGGTTTTTTGGTTTTGTTTTTTTTTTTTTCCTCCTGAGACAGTGTTTCTCTCTGTAGCCCAGGCTGTCCTGGAACTCACTCTGTATGTAGTCCAGGTGGTCCTCTAACTCACATCCCCATTTCTTAGCTGTTAACCACTGTTCCACCTACAATCTTACATTACAGGAAGATAAACTTCTCTATTTCTCACAGTATCTATTCCAATGCTAAATTAGGGTGAAAATTTTGTGAAAATAGATACTCAAAAGTAAAAAAAAATTACTAATGTATATGAACGTCTATTAAATAATAATTTAACAGTTAAATTACTTGTCCTTAAAGATCTCCTTTTCATGGTCAGTCCAAACATTCATAAACTGTCTATCTTTATAAACTTTCATAGGATCCTCCATAAGCCCATTCATATTGATGAACTTGACCCTTCTTTGTTCTGCATCAAACATCATAGGTGGAATCACAGAAAGCTGACGCATTTGTTTCTCATTATTCTGCAAGAAATAAATGAAATTTAGTTAGGGTAATATTTAAACTAGAAATTTTAAAGATTATAGACTTTGGCAGTTTAAAAACATATCTGTAGTTTAATGAAAATAATGCCGTATATCATAGCATGTTACATGATTATTTCTAACACATTTAAACCAAATTAAGTAAATTACAAACATAGAATTCACTTAAAAAAAAAAAACTACCTTTGGGTTGGTTTTGTTTGGTATTTTGTTTGTCTATCTTTTCTTTCTTTTTTGGACAGAGTCCCATTCTGGAGTCCATACCATGATTCTATAGATCAGGCTGCCCTGAAATTTGTAGCAATCCTCCTGCCACAGCCCCTCAATGCTGAGATGAGGTGTAAGTATGAACTACTACACTGAGCTTATCCATTACTATTCTGAGGAATACTTAATGAAACTGGTATTTGGAAAATAATGCAGTATTTTTATCTAGTCTATATAAAACAATAGTCTCAACATCACTTTAGTTTTCTTTCTTTAGTTTTTTTTTTTTTTTTTTAAACTGTGTATTCAGAAGAGGCATCCATGCATGTGGAGGCCAGAGAGCATCTCTGGAAGTTTTCCCTGTTGCTCACTACCATATTCACTGAGGTAGGGTCTCTCAGCTGAACCTACTGCTTGCCTAAGCAAGTCAGGCTTGCCAGCTACCCTGTAAGCACTGCAACCATGGGCAGCCACCACAGCCAACCTGGCATTACAGAGACTCCAGCCTCACACTTGCACAGCAAGGACTTTATCCTTTGAGCATGGCCCCAGCCCTTTATCATCATCATATACATAGAACAATCTTAGCATGACTTCAGAGACAGAAAAACAGGAACAAAGGGATTAAGACCTTAAAGTCATTGATCTTAAATTATTTAACTCACATAGTATTAAGTACTTCTTGCTAATTTTATGTGATCAAATAAAATTCTAACACTCTTATCATTATATTTTAAGCTGGTTTAACCTACTACATATGTATATTTTTCCAAAGTATAACTTAAGATATTTATAAACACAATCTTGCATTAAAAAAAAACTTGCTTATAAAGCTATAATATTTATCTAAATTTAGGTTGGTTTTTTTTTTTGCCAAAAAATATTTCCAAGTTGTCAAGTCCTTGTCTAGTTCCAGAGGGTATATTCAATCAATTTGAACACCAGGGTTTGGGATTGACACATTAGCTTGAAATCACTTCAGCTGATAAGCTTCCTTGGAATGCTTTCAGATATATCCTAATGGAATCCACAGAAAAGCAAGAATAGAAATTTAATGCAGATCTAGTCTTTATAGAAATTATAGCTGCAAATATGCATTTTCCAATGATTTTAGAACCAGTATAGAATAATGGTTGTGTTTTAAAGCTCCTGAGTGTGTGTGTGTGTTTGTGTGTGTATCACTTGTACCAAGAGTGTGCAAGATTATGTACATTATGTACTTAAGATTTCAGAAAATACCTTCCAAAAATAACTTAAATGTATTACAAAAAATAAAGTGTATCTCTCAGAGCATAGGTAGAAATGATGTTTATGTGTTCAATAACACTGTAAGAACACACACACAAAAAAAAGGCAGAAAGAAAGAAAAAATGCTGAGGGCTAACAATGCATAGAAATATCTTCTGCCTTACAAAGTATGGAACATATTTCTGTGGCTGAATTTTTAACATTTCAAAGGAGCAAAAGTCACTTTAAAACTCCTAAAGAAAACAGTATCAGGAGTGAGAAAAAAAAGGACAAAAACCAATGACAAAAGTCCATTTTTTTTGTCTGTTTGTTTTGAAACAGGGTCTCTGTATAACCTAAGCTGTCCTGGAAAATGCTCTATAGACCAGGCTGGCTTGAAACTCACAGAGACCTGCCTGTCTCTGCCTCCCAAGTACTGGCATCAGAGGCATCTGCAACCACCACCCAGCACATATCTATTTTAATTGGTACATAGTCTTGAGATTTGAGGCAGCTCAAATCCGACTTTACCTCCTTAATGACTCAAGTAACAAAAACTGACATAATTATAGACGCATATGAAACACAAATGAAATAAAAACTTTAAAACATGTACCAATACAAATACACATATAAACAGGCTATTTTCACATCCCAGAGGAAAACACATACCAACTGCTTCAAAATGTAAATTAAACAAATATTGGCAGGATGTGGAGACTAATTAGAAAATTTTGTCTCCCTCACTAGTAATTTAACTTGATATGATTGAGTAATTTGATGGTTCACTCCATCACTTAAGTCCCAATGCCTTTAGTAAACTTTAGCTTTTAACTGAGGGCTGTAGAAACATTATGAGAGAAGTAGACTCAATTCAATGGACAGAAAGAAGAGCATGGGGCTCTGGAACAGATCACAAGGCTGGCCACCTGGCTCTGCTTCCCGAAGCAGTGTGGCTCTGGCTGTCCTGGAACTCCCGCTGTTGACCAGGCTGGCCTCAAACTCACAGAAATCATCCTGCCTCTGCTGGCTAAGTGGTGGGATTAAAGGCACATGACCAATAGGCCCATCAGAACTATTTTCTTAACTCTTCCCAGGTCTCTTGATGACAAAACAATCTTTGTAAAAATTTTAATCGCATTGCTTAAAACCTTATAGTGGTTGAGCCTTAGTCTCTGAAATACTTCAAGCACTACTATCTAAGGTATCCTTATTCACATAGTAATAAACTTTTACCCCCTGGGCTACAGTGCTGAAATGCTTAAATAACTAAAGAATCAACTTGAATTAATCAATTTTCTTACCTCCTGCTCAGAAAGACCATCAATAATTTCAGAAATCTCATGCTCACTCCTAGCAATGGTGGCTGAAAGACCAGCTCCCCTCTGACCAACACTAAATATGAAAAGAAATATAAATATATTTAAAGGCTTTTTATGAAGACAAATTATCATTGATACTGGAACTATATAGACCAGGGTGGCCTTGAACTCAAAGAGATCTGCCTGCCTGTGCTTCCCAAGTGCTAGGATTAAAGGAATGCACCACCACCGACTGGCTCAAAGTGAGACTTTAAAATGAAATATATCGTATTCATTCTTTGACAATTTTACACATAAGCAACTTATCTTGATCACATCCACTTCCAGTTCCTAATTCACATCCTCTAATGGGTTTTTTTGCTTTTGTTTTTGTGGAACCCAGAGTCCCAATTAGTACCATCTGTTGGAATACTGGTCATGTACAGGTCTTGTGCATTTAACCATACCTTATTAAGCTCAGTAGTGCAATATCTAAATCATGTCCATGTCATACAACACAAAATAGGAAAATAGTTTTTGTGTGTGCGCATGTGTGTAAGTGTATGTCAGAAACGTAGGTATGCCTGTAAATGTGTACAAATGCACATAAACACCAAAGGTGACGTTGGGTGTCTCCCTTCATCACACTCCTCTTTGTTAAACAGGATTTTTTTGTTTTTGTTTTTGTTTTGTTTTGTTTTGATTTTTTGTTTTTTTTCCAGACAGGGTTTCTCTGTGTAGCTTTGGAGCCTATCCTGGCACTCGCTCTGGAGACCAGGCTGGCCTCAAACTCACAGAGATCCTCCTGCCTCTGCCTCCCGAGTGCTGGGATTAAAGGCGTGCGCCACCAATGCCCGGCAGGATTTTTTTTTTAAACAATAGGAGGGATTTTTTTTTTTAAAACAATAGGAAGTCAAAAAACAAACCCCGAGATTCAGTGAATACTTTCAAACAGCATGCATGAGTCACTGCCAAATTAGCAAAAATTTAAATGTTAACAATGAGATTTAAGTTACATGTTGGATTTAAAGCTCAGTTGGTAAAGTGTTTGACCCTACAATGTATCAGGACCTAGGGTTAATCACTAACACTACAAGAAAAAAAAAAAAGGTTATACATCCAAGTTAAAATAGTAGCACCAGTAATGGGGAACTTGTATTAAAAAAGAAATTATTGCTGGGCGTTGGTGGTGCACGCCTTTAGTCCTATCATTTGGGAGGCAGAGGCAGGTGGAAGACCACCCTGGTCTACAAGAGCTGGTTCCAGGACAGGCTCGAAAGCTACACAGAGAAACCCTGCCTCAAAAACCTTGAGAAAAAAAAAAAAAGAAATTATTGAGACAGGCTTTGGTGGTGCACACCTTTAATCCCAGCACTCAGGAGTCAGAGTTAGAGGCAGGTGGAACTCTGTGAATTCGAGACTGGCCTGGTCTATAAGAGCTAGTTCCAGGATAGCCTCCAAAGCCACAGAGAAACTCTGTCTCAAAAAAACAAAAATAAATAAATAAATAAATAAATAAATAAAAAGATAAAAAAAGTCAAGTTTAAAGAGTTTACAAAATACCTATTTGTACCTTTTCTGAGAAATAATGATGGTGTTTTATACCTACTCTCTAAAAGTAAAACAAGCAAAAAGAGTGTGGTGCATGGTGGTAAATGCCTTTAATCCTAGCACTTGGGGGGGAAGACTGAAGACAGACAGATCTCCATAGCAAGTTTCAGGCCATCCAAGGCTACATAAAAAGAGCTTGTTTTAAAAAAATAAATTAATAATAATGATGATATCAAAACTTAGCTACTAAACCCCCCAAAATATGTTTTTTGTTTTTGTTTTTGTTTTTAAATCTTACACCAGGCAGTGATGACCCATGCCTTTAATCCCAGCATCAGGAGGCAGAGGCAGAGGCAGATGGATCTTTGAGTTTGAGACCAGCCTGGTCTATAAAGCGAGTTTCCAGGTCAGCTAGGGAAACAGAGAAAACCTGTCCCCCCCCCAAAAATAAACTATTTTTAAAAAGTCTTATTTCAGCCAGGCAGTGGTTGCGCAGGTCTTTAATCCCAACACTCGGGAGGCAGAGGCAGGTGGATCTCTGTGAGTTCGAGGATCAGCCTGATCTACAAGAGCTAGTTCCAGGACAGCCTCCAAAGACACAGGGCAACCTGTCTCAAAAAACAAAAACAAAAAAAAGCCTTATTTTTAATTTTATTTTATACATGTATGTCTGTTTACCATGCACATGACTGGTAACAAATGAAGCCAAAAGAGGGCATCAAATCCCACATAACCAAACATAGGTCCTCTACAGGAATAACAAGTACTCACTATCTCTTTAGCCCCATAGAATTTTTTGATTAATAAATTTCATGCTGTTTCATTCTGTTTATGATTATTAAGGAACATTCGGGTCTGTTCTTACTAACTGTCATTTTAAAAGAAATTAATATTTTTAAGAAATAAAGACTTGGGCTGGAGACAGCTCAGCAGTTAAAGAGCACTGGCTGCTCTTCCAGAGGACTCAAGTTCAATTCTCAGCACCACATGGCAGCTCATGACTCCAGTTCCAGAGGATTCCAATTCTGGCCTCCAGGGGCACCAGTCGTGCATGTGGTGCATTAACATGCATGTAGTTGAAACACTCAATGCATAAAGTAATTTAAAAAAAAAACAACAAAAAAAAAAACAGAATTAAAAGAAATTTCAAAATATTCACCAAATGGGATTGTCCTCAGGTCATCAGATCGCAGATCTAGTGGCAAACCCATAAACTATTTTGTGGGCTCTTAGGTAGAATATAAAACTTTCTTACCAACCAGTGAGGATTATTTCTTAGTGAATTTAAATGGAAGCATAGAACCTACTCCCATGATTGGTCCTCTGACCTTTACATCAGTATTACTATGGCACATGAGCTTCCCACATGCACCCCGTAAATGAATAACAAGGCTAATTTTTTTTAAAGATATATTTATTATGTATACAGTGTTCTGTCTGCACGTATGCTTGCAGGCCAGAAGAGGGCACCAGATCTCTTACAGATGGTTGTGAGCCACCACGTGGTTGCTGTGAATTGAACTCAGGACCTCTGGAAGACCAGTGTTCTTAACCTCTGAACCATCTATCTCTCTAGCCCCAAAAAGTGTAATTGTAAAAATTTAAGTTCAGCATTAAAAATTCTTACCAGGCAGTGGTGGCACACACCTTTAACCCTAGCACTTGGGAGGGAGATAAGACAGAGTCTGAATTCAAGGACAGCCTGGTCTACAGATGGAGTTCCAAAACAGCCAGGGCTACACAGAGAAACCCTGTCTCAAAAATCCAAAAATTCTTTATGATCTGAAGAAAACAATTACAATTACTAAACATGAAACTACATACCGTTGAAATCTTTCTTGCTGTTCTCTTTGTTTTCGAATTTCTGGAAACTGCTTCTCATAGTATTCCCTTGTTTTGCTTTCCTTTGCTTTCCTCCGGGGATTATTTTCTATTCTGTCCACTTTTTTCTCCCATGCCTCCATGAGCTGATCATAACGCTGGCAGATTTTTTGTTCCTATCAAACACCCGTAGCAAATTAATAACAATTAAACTGAACTCTGTGATATGGTAAGCCTTTACAATATATTCCATTTCTTAAGATGAGAACAGAAGTACACTTGGCTTGTGTGACTCAGCTAAGAATGACAATTTGTTCTTGGTCATTGGAGCAATTCCTTAGATGGACACACAGGGTATAGTTTCCCTGGAATTTTTACTGACCATTGACACTATACAAATTAACAAACTCATTAACAACCACTGGTAGTGGCTGACCATCTATTTTTATTTTCCTGATAACATGCCTTCATTGTCAAAAAGAAAGCAGTATTAGAAACATTTACACAGCTCATCATCTAATCCAGTGGTTCTCAATTTTCTTAATGTTGTGATCCTTTAATACAGTTCCTTATGTTGTGGTGACCAACAACCATAAAATCATTTTTGTTGCTACTTCATAACTGTATTTTTGGTAATGTTATGAACTGTAATGTAAATATCTGCATTCTCCCATGGTCTTAGGTAACCTCTGTGATAGGGTTGTTCGACTCCCAGAGGTGTCATGACCCACAGATTGAGAACCATTGCGCTGATCAATCTTAAAGGCAACTATTTGGCATTGTGTTGGTTGGTACCTATCCAAACTGTCAGAGAAAACATGCACATTTAACACTTTCTCTGTCATTAGAGGTTCTGGCTTTTCACCTTTAATTTTTCTTTTTGTTAACTACTATAAATATTTTTTCTAGCATAGAAAAGGCTTGAATTAGCTATTCATCATCATAAAAGGAAATCTGGTAAAAAAAAAAAAAACATAAAATCAACAATTAGTGCTTTTGGTTAAATAAGTGAATTATGATTCCGTTTTCTACAGATAAAAGGCAGAAGAACCCTCCATATGGGCATACAACTACGTGAATATCTGACACCCTGAAAGAGGAAAGTGAGAAGGGTCTTAGGAACACGGGTAACTTTAGTCATTTAAGAGTGACTGGATAGGAGAGTATTTATTCTCATACCGTTCCCTCATCACTCCTTCCAATATCCACGTGTCTTTTGTGTACTTCACATTTTTCTCTTTCTACTCCCATCACCTTAATTAAAGTCAACACTGTCATCACCCAGAGTGAAGCAATCATCAAGTAAACATGGCCCACATCCTTTCTGTTGCTGTCAAAAGCAGAGAAGATGGAAGCCAGGACCAGGCCCATGCTAGGTAAGTGTTCAGATCTTCCAATGCATTTTCAATGTTGCAACCAGATGCAAATTCTTTTGTTGTTGTTTGATACAGAGTTTCCAATATATTAGGCTAGCCTCAAACCCACTAGTACCGGAACAGGACTTGAACTTCTGATCTCCCTGCTTCAACCTCTTGAGTGGGAATTACAGCAGGCATGTGATACCAAACAGTTTATTTGGTGTCAGGGATCCAATCCAGGGTTTCATTCATGTTAAGCACTCTACCACTGAGTTACATTTATAACCCCAGATGTAAATTCTTAAAATACAAACCTGAACTTTATACCTCCTCAGTTTAGAAACTTAACAAGTGCCCTCAGAATCTCGTACAAATTCTTATAGGTGAACGCCAGAACAGTGCGTGTCACTGAATCCCAGCATCACTGATCACCACCCTGAGCCTGTAACATTAGCTATTTCACTTAATCTGTTCCCTCTGCTTGTAAAAGTTTACAGAGTATTGGCTTTGCTGTTTAGTGGCCCTCCCTGATTCACATCTGCTTTAGGCATCCCATTTTACACACTTCCAGTCAGCTACATAGAAGAGATCACATTATGATCACAATACTGAACCAGCCTGCTGACATGTCTGCTCCCTAAGAGCTAAACAATATGGCTATCTGACTTGCTTTTCTGGAATAATATATGCAACATCATCCACAACCGATAAGCACTTATTAAACAAATCAGTAAACACATAAATTTATAATTACTCCAAAGCATAAAGAAAGTTTATGCTTCAGTGATTACATCACCAGAGGACTAATTTAGCAAGTACCAGAATTACAATAAAATACTGAATAAAAAGGCTGGTTTGCTCACTTAATATTAATAGGTTCTTGAGTCAACACCAGTTATTTAAGATAGTAGCTAAAAGATTAACACTGGCAAATATGAACTACAGAAGCTTTATACCAAATAAAAGTTGGTGTTTCTTGAGCTTTACAATTTATTAAGCTGTCAGGTCATTAAATAAAAGGTGATTTGTAACACAGGTTCAAAGAATTTAACTTTATTAAAAATCTGAATTTAAATGTATTTGTAAAGTTAGTATGAGCATATTACAAAAATAAGGATATTCTCTGAAACTCAATTTTTATGATTATAACCATAAACTTTTAGACAGCAATTATACAATTAAATGAGACACTGACCAGTTAGTTTTTCCTAAGGACAGAGAGTAATGTCTCACCAGTATACCATAACTTACCGACACTTGTTTGAGTCCTAACAGACTGAAAGCAGATCATCCTACTTAGCCTACCCCTCCCCCCCACCGCTTGGACTACTCACCATTTTCCTGAATAAAAATATTACATAAATGACTAATGAAATTAATCTGATAATGATGTTAAATGTGGTATTACAATGTTACTAGGATTAGACTCATATTTAAGTCACACATACAGGTACTTTCTAAATCAGCATTTGTTCTCAATATCATCAAGGACCAATTATTAATGGGAAAGTGAATGCCTACATGACATGAATGGGAAAGCTGTACAAATTTCAGTTAACAAGGATAGGACCTCACCCTTTGTTTTCTTGCATGATTTCTTCTTTTAAAAAATAAAATGAGTTTTTTCCTCATCACCTGGTTTCTAGAAGAGAAAAATATGGTTGCAGAACATTAAGAATAAGCACAACTTAAGCTGTGTTCACTTTCTTCAGACCCTGGAGACAGGCAAACCACTTTAAGAACTTATGGTACAATCAGAGTTAATCTTAAGGTTTTCACCCTGCAAAATAAAACTGCATAATTTTTGCAATTAGGTCTAAAATTCCTACCATTCTATAACAAGATAATACAGTTAATTTTTAATTCATGCATCTAATTTTAAGACATATATTATTTTCAAACTATAATTAAGGGGTAATTAGTCTTAAGAATTTCGATGATACAAGCATCTTTGTACATAGTTTGAGAAAGGGAAAAGAAACCTTTTGCAGGTACTTCCCTCCTAGAAGGAGAATACACACCAACACATTTAGACAGATATAACTTCTGCTCAAAACAGAAGATCTCTCTCCCACAGATACAACACAACACTCTAGCGAGCACAGAGGGCAATCTGACAAGACAGGAAAATTTCTCAAGTGTCTTAATATAACAGTGTCACTTTTTAACGTGGAAGCACTGTGACCTTTTAAAACAATGTCATGCAGATTCAAATATATAAATATTTATATCCCACCTACTTACAGAAATAACTCCAAACTGATTATTCAGACATAAATACAAAGCCAATGAAAGTAGATATAAATTTTTGGATTATGTGTCACTCAGGACTAACAATGACACTGGCTCCACTCAAATAATCATAGACAATCAGAATCTGGCTGTTATGACAAAGCAGTCAAGAGATGAAAAGAATTATTAAAAATCACATTTGCTATTTTATACAAAGCAAATGCTGGTAATGAAAAAATAGCTACTGAATGATTTGTGCAGATATGGGCATCTACAAACTTCAAAATTAACATGGAGTGGGACCATTACTATATACCAATTTATTCTGCAATTATATACTACTCAAAATTAAATGTCAATCAGTAAATAAAACTTTAAATGTCTACTAAGGATTTAAGTGAAGTCAGCCAGTCAGTACCCCATCTCAGCACAATCTAACATAGGCAGTGTAGATAACATAAATCAAAACCAGTGCAGCTTTCCAGCTTACATTGAGAGAAGACAAAACACAAACTGAAGCTTTGGGGGGCGGGGAGTCAACTACATTTTACCTGTTATCCTCCTTTTAAAAACATTTAAACAGCTAAGTAGTTCTAAATCAAAATGTTTGAGTTTAGCCTAATCTTCTCCTAAAGGTTCTCAAGACCATGGCAATATCTCATAGAAAAATTCTTAAATAGATGACTTTATTATGAACCACTTAACAGAAGTTAAAATTACTCAAATTGTAGTAATTATCATGCACTCTACCATGCAAATATATTTGCCACCAGTTCTGCAAAGTAGTCAATTATTGTACACACTTTCAGAAATTAAAAGAAAAAATATAAATAATAATGTGCTAATTAGTAACTGTAATAGTAAATAATTATAATGCTCAGGATACACTTTTAAATGCATATAAATAGAAATTATCACATTTTTGTCACCAATAATAATTCACCTAAAATGCTATAAAAGTATGATAATTAACAACAATTTAAAAAAAACCTGTCTAGCTTCTTGCACTTCAATCAGATCAAGAAATTAAGTTTACTTTTCACTTATTTTCTTATTCCAAGATCTGCATCCATAAAGGCCTGGTAGTAGGATGAGCAAGGCAAAGCAAACTACATTCTGGAACAGCCTCCTCACCCACATGAGGGGACTGAGCCTTCCAAGGCACCAGGACATTAAATGGCAGAAGGATCTACAAATACCGTCATTAGCAAGAGTCATGGAAGGGATTTCCCTAGAATAGGGTTTTGAATAATGATAAAATGATCCGTGGCACTTCTACTTTGCAATGGCAGATGTGGCTTGGTGGGGGACGGAAATGAAAAAGCTTCATTATCTTACTTCATCATGCGCCTTGCAGGTACTCCACTGAAAAAAACACAAAACAGGAGGCAAAGAATTCAAGCCTCAAGGTAAGCCATTTCAATGCTAAGTATCCACCTTTTTTTTTTTTTTACTAGCAGATTATAAAACCAGCTAGTTTTATGCAATAATTTATTTTATTTTTTGGCCTCGGAAACTCAAATCTGTTACCCCAACCCCCAAAAAGCCAGAGGAAGATAACATATAGTAAAACAACAGCTAATTACACAAATCTAAAACACACCTAAACTGTTATAATAATGTCCGCAGATAACAAAAGTGATTTCTTTATATAATATTATGTTCTTTAATTGAACTCCAAAGATGGTAAGTACTTACGTCTTGATGTTCTCATGGTACACCTTGGTATCTGATGGCTGGTTATAGAGTGGCTATAAAATAAATGACATTTATGTGTAGAGTATTGTATATACTTACAGTAACAAACAAAAGAAGCATTTTATTGTGAGACTTCCTAAAAAGGCCTATACCACAGCATCCTACATAATCTATAGATGTCAGGTTTCCCTGTTAACCCATCTCCTAATGCTTTTCTACTCCAGTAAGGAAGTTTGCAAACATATTTATTCCTATCTTATAATAAATAAGCCTCATCATACTTTTAATTTCAAAGGCAAAAGGAAATTACACACTGTCCTTATCCTAATAGTGTGTTCAGTTAGCTTTCTTCTATTTCTTTAGGTACTTCCTCCTACTACCTGAAGAGATGAAATGGTTGTTCAGGCAAAACATTCTCAGGATAATGCTTAGGCAAAGGTAACCAAGTTTACTCACAATTATCTTAAGATTATAACAAACTTTCTGCCCAGATATATATATATATCTCCAAAAATAAATGGGTATCCCAAGAAAAACTTTTTAAAAAGAAACCAACAACAACAGTATTAGAAATGAAAACAAGAATTTCTTACCAGTTCAACTTTTGGGCCAAGACCTTCAAAAATTTTATGAGCTTCTTCTGCTTTTTTCTAAAGAGAAAAACATTATTGTATTGATAATTAAAAAATTATATTACCCCAAAGAAAATTATTGACTATTTGAAATTACTTCTCTAAGACTAATCTACAACTGAATTTATCTTTATTTTCACTGAAACTTTCTCAATTTCCCATTACAGAAAGGTGTGAACCCAGAGTATCATGCATGCTAGGCAAGTGTTCTGCCACTGATTCACGGTGCTGGCATTCTCTAATTTTAATTTTCAAAGGGTTCTCTCACTAAATTTAATCAAATTTCTAGTCAAAACCTACTACCTGTAGTGAGGGCAGCACATAAACAATTAGGAAGTTAATAAAATACTAGGAATACAGAGAGGGAAAGTTTTTTAATTGGAAGTATACCTAAATATTTCAAGTATTTAATTCATGTCACCATTAATATCTAAAAGCATAAAGTATCAAAAGAAGCAAATACTGAGCTAATTTTCTAGTTCTAAGAATGAAGAAATAGCTAGTTTTACTCCAAGCATTACTTGGAGTAAAATAAAATTTTAATCACATATTTAACATGCCATTTTCAAAAGTAAAATAATCAAAACCAAAGTAGCCTGTAACAGGATCTTTCTTGCTAAGAACAAATTAACTGGGTCAGCAAGACAGCTTGTGGTTGATTAAGGTGCTTGCCATCAAGCCTGACAACCTGAGTCCCATCCCTGGAACCCACATGGTCAAAGAGAGTACTAACTCCAGCAAGTTATCCTCTGACTTCTCCATGTGTGCCATGTCACACATGCACTAGGACAAACACACACTTAATTAAATAATTAATTAATGAATGAACTTTTAGCCTATGAATGGTTTGGCCAAAAGTTTTTTGCAACATAGAACACTCCAATTGGGATAGGTATGTAGCTCAGTTGTTAAAAATACTTATAGCCTTAGGCCTTGGGTTCAATTCCCTGCCAAATACATACATACATACATACATACATACATACATACATACATACATACACCCCCCCCACACACACACCCCTGACAATTTCATACAATTTTTAGTTTAAATCTACATATGTGCCAGGCACTTACTAGACACGAAGAAAACAATGAGGGGGAGCGGGGGAAACAAGCAATTACAGTATAGAAAGAATGGTTGAAAAAGCTCACGATATTAAAGAATAAGTGTACTCCACAAATAAGACAAACACTAGACAGACAAAACAACCCAGAATTAAAGGTACTAAAAACACTTAATAGAACACTACAAGCCTCATCTGGTAAAGTACTACACCAAGAAGAGAACTGTCTAATAAGGCTCAGATAGGGCTCAGTGGGTAAAAGCATTTGCTGAACAAGCCTGAAGACTCCCAAGAATGCACGGAAGAAGAACTGATTCCACAGTTACCCTCAGCCCAGCACATCCATATGCATGTGTTCACATACACACATACAGAAAAATAATAGAAATATATTTTTGACATGTTTAAAGTTTGGGCTACTCAAAAGAAATAGGGTTTTGATGGAGAATTATGTACTAGAACACTGGTATGAAGGATGGATTAGAAAGTTTAAAAAAAAGACTGTAAGATGAGATACAGCAACCATGTATAAGGAAAATTCAACTTAAGCAAATGGCAAAAGGAGAAAAGGGAAGCAATTGCTCAGGATAATATATAGAAGACAGGATGGATGCTCTTTAGAAACTCATTATATATATATGGTGTAACAAAGGAAGGAAAACACCCAATTCCCAGGTAACTAGCATGAGTGACAGGAGGATGTTGGCACCTAACAATTTTTACTTTCTCCTGTGCCATGTGCTGTGGTAAATAATCCAGCCAAAATATAAACTATTTCTACAATCTTCTCCATTACATACTGACAACCATTCTCTTTTGTATTTTTATTCTGAAATTAGAGCACTTATAAAAGTTTTGGGACCATATAACTCAACAGAGATGAAGCAACTACAACTGTTTTAAAAAAAAAAAGTTCAGAATAGTTTGTTTAGAGAGAAAACAAATGTAAGTCTGAGTTCAGATATGAACCAAAGCAGCTTTTCTTTACTGAAGTCAGACATTTAACAGTCTCAGTCTTCCCACCAACTTTGTAAATAAAGATAGACTTCTTATACATGTAATGTTTCCAATTACTTCAATCACACGGAGCATAATTACCAGAGTAATTACTGCCCCTACACAAGGAATAAGTGAAAGACATACTTCTGTCATTACCTCATGTCTTCTTGCCTTTGGTGTCAAGACAGATAAGATTGCTCACTTTGAAAGGCCACATAAGCTGTGAAAGTCTTACAAAAGGGAGCATGAGGAGATGCCCAGAGGAGCTTCCCTCTGCTTCCTTCAAGGAAGCTATGATTTTAGAGCTACACAAGAACAACTACAAAAACACTAGTAGTAGGGTATACTAAGAAAGCATCAAAAAGAAAACAAGGCTTGGCAATTACTAACCGTGGGTTAAGAACATTCTTCATGCATAAAAAAACTTTTCACTATAAGAAGCCAAGACTCATTCTGAGACATCAGGTTTGGCTATCCTTTGCTTTGTGGAAGGAACAAGGAACAAAAATGAAATGAACAAAACAGAAAGGGTCTAAAATGAGTTTTCCAGCTGATGAAGGGCACTAAGAAACATTTATTTCACTAAGGAAAACATTTATGTAATTAAACACAAATTAAGTTCTCTATGAGATCTTAATATTTTTCAGTCTTCACACCCCAATTAAGCAATCACAACATTCACTAATTTAGAATTGTTTAGCCTGGACAATGGTTGACTTTAAAGTCTCATCAATTAGTATCACTGAATCCATTTTATCTTAAAAACAACAAATACTAAAATTTAAGATATTAAAAAATTTTCCATTGTCTATCAATTCTCATCTCTTACTTTATCATAAAGGTCACAAACTGGCCGTAAAGGTCACTAGCTCACTAAAGCATTTTGTATTTCTGAAGGGTATTTCTTAAAAACCAGAAGATATAGTGGCGCACACCTTTAATACCACCACTTGGAAAGAAGAGGCAGACAGATCTCCAAGTTTAAGACTAGCCTGATTGATCTACAAAGCAAGGTCCAGGAAAGCCAGGGCTGTTACATAAAGAAATGGTCTCAAAAAAACAAAAACCTGAAGATATAACACAAAACCTCTCACTTCCATCTCCACAAAGGGCATACTTGCCTATTCTGAGCTACAGTCTTCCTCTAGGCATGACATGAGGTAGAACTTAATCACTTTTTTTTCTTTACTAGCAACTTCATTAGATTATCTTCATGTAGACTATTCTTGCCATTCCATAAACTGCACCCATTCTAAGCCCAGCCAATTAAATATTAATTGCCTATACTTTTATAAGAATATAATATGAAACTTACCACAGAAGTATACTTTATATGACTCTCAAATATCTGCCCATGTGCAAATGTATGAGTTCAAGATTATTTTATATGTTTATATAATGATAGAATTAAAATTGTTGTTTGGCTTCCCTGCTGTCTTAGTTGGGGTTTCTACTGCTGTGAAGAGACACCACAACTACGGCAACTCTTATAAAGAAAACAACTGGGGTGGCTTACAGTTTAGAAGTTCAGTCCATTAGCATTATGGTAGGACATGGTGGCATGGAGCAGACAAGATGCTGGCAAAGTACCTGAGAGTCCTACATCTTGCAGGAAACAGGAAGTGGTCTGACTCACTGGAATAGCTTGAACATAGGAGAGACCTCAAAGCCCATTCACACAGTGGCACACTTCCTCTAATAAGGCCACCATCTACTTCAACAAAGCCACATCTCCAAATAGTGCCACTGCATCTGGGAACCATTTTCTTTTAAGCCACCACATCTGCCTTATTTTTCTTTTTAGTATGTGTGGTACTTGTGATACCCTGTGTCCTCCTCAGTTGCTTATCACACTTTTTTGGGGAGGTGGGGTTCCACTGAACCAAGACCTCACTAATTTGGCTAGGCTCCTGACATGCAATACCCAGGGATCCTCCTGTCTCTACTCCCCCACTGTTCAGATCACAGGCAAATGCTTGCATACTCAGCTTTTTATATGGGTGCTGGGGATCTGAACTCATATCTTCAAGCTTTTTAATCATCTCCTCAGCCCCTACTTTCTTGTGTGGATGGAATTTCATAATTATTATTTACTTTAGAACATATCATTCATACAAAAGACTCAGAACAGCAAAACTCTATTTTACCACAACTTACTCTACAGAATACCTTAAAGTACTTTTTCAAATACACTTCCCTTTTGATACTTTTTAGTCTTACTACATCTACATAAGAACATAACTTTTACCCATCATGTACTCTTTATTTTTTTTTTTAAGACTGATCAATTTATTATGCATATAGTATTCTGCCTGCAGCATGTCTGCAAGCCATAAGAGGGCACCAGATCTCATTATAGATGTTTTGAGTGCTGGGAACTGAACCCAGGTCCTCTGAAAGAGTAGCCAGTGCTCTCAACCTCTGAGCCATCTCTCCAGCCCCCAATCACGTACTCTTGACTCTTATTTAGAATTAGTTCTTTAAGTAAACTATCTAATTTTCTTGCCTTTATAAATACTGCTAGGCTTGCTTCTCTCTCTCTCTCTCTCTTTAAATTTGCTATTGCAATCCTGTGCGTGTTAGGAATGTACTCCACAACTGCACAGCCCCAATTATAGTTGCTTTTCTTATGGACAATATCCTTTCAGATCTGGTTATTTGTATAAAATTTATTGACTCTTGATATATCAACTCACTACATAGCAACTAAATTCAAACAACAACCCTGATTTTGACTCAAAATCTTGCTATGCTAATAAACTAAATATCATAACTATAGTTCTTACTCGATAATTATTTTGTTATATATTTTACAACGTTAATGGTAAAAACCCTTCTTTTTATTTAGACAGAAAAGAGAAGATGATGAGGAATGTCCTTCCGTGTATGTTTGTCTTATTGGTTGTTAAATAAAGCACTGTTGGCCAATAGGGGAGCAAGTTAGGTGGGACT